AATGTCTGTTCAACACCTTCAGTGCTCATTTTTGAGGACAATAAGGTCAATGCAAAGCTGGTCTAAATCTCACACTCTTCTTTTCTTTCTCAAGGCCGTAGCTAAATCCCTCTGCAGATACGGCCCAAGAGGTTTACTCAAGCCTTGAATGCTCTTTGTTGTATTATTTGTCTTGTCTCCTTTGTGGTTCTGAAGTCTTCCTCACTCATTCCCAAAGCTGTGTCCTCATTTCAGCTATAAATCTTTGTTTTCTCAAGCTTTTTTCCCTTGAACAAATTTAGAAGGGCTGGCAAACTAACTTCAGCCTGCTACAACAGTCCTTTCTTCCACTGGTGATGGGCTCTCTGCTTCTACCCTAGACCCATTTCTGCTGTATCTTAGCCTCTAGTTACTATTTATTTCTTTTCGCTTCCTCATCCAATCCCACTTCTTGGTATTTAAGCTTATTTCTTCCTAATTCCTTTCATTTGCCTTTGTTAACCATATCTGCTAGGTCTCCTTTAATCCCCTTTATGATGACATTTTGAAATATTGGTGCCCACTGTCACATGAGCTATAATCCTCCAATAATATATTTTGCTAATTGAGCCGTCTGCAAAAGTATCTTCCTAAAAACTTTGTGAACGCTTGCATACCTATTCTTGGAGAGCCTCTAACAAAATAATGGTGAGCACTAGTGTTTTTATTATTATTATTATTGCTTTTAACACCAATTAAGACTAGCTGTATCATTGGGCCAAGCATATTTCTTCCATTGACCCTTGTTTGCTTGGTGTGTTTTTTCTTTTCTTTGCAACTTAGATGAACTTTGAAGATTAACAACCAATAAAATTTTCTGGGTTTCATTTGGGCAGGTTTGGGCCCTGTGACCAAACTTAACTGCATATATAACCTCTTCTTCTACTGATTTCCCCATCTTGGCTTTTTACTGTTCTTTTTATGCTACTGACCTAATTTAGTTTTCATATGTTCCTCAATATCCTCTTTCTTATGAGCTCTTGTCCCTGGCCTTTTTTTAATAACTAACCAGTTTTTACTTGCATCCTCTGTCTACAGGCAGCCAAATAATCCTCAAATAATTCTACTGCATTATTGCTTCTGATGCTTTTCTAACCAGAATGTAGAGATGTTGTGGGGATCATTTTAACCTGTACCGCCATTTCCTCTGAACTCTTTTCTCTAGTTGTAATCATTTATGACCTAGATCAGTGGTGGTGAACCTATGGCACGAGTGCCAGAGGTGGCACTCGGAGCCCTCTCTGTGGGCACACGTGCCATTGCCCCAGCCCCGCCTCCCCCACCCCGCGGCCCTCTCCACACCAGCAGCCCCCCTGGAGGAGAGTCACCTCCAGACACGGCCCGCCTGGAGCAGCACAGCCAAGGACATGGCAGCCGGGCAGTGGGGACAAAACTCCACCCTTGTGCCCCGTCGCAAACAGATGATGTTGCGGGGCACAGATGGAAGTTGTGGCCACCATGGTGCTGCTGGGCTGCCTGGGCAATCTGCAGTGGGCCGTGGAGGTGGTGGGTGGGGGTGGAGTGGGGTGGTGCGGGGGCGGTGTGGGGGGGTGGGGCAGTTTTTGGACACTCGGTCTCTAAAAGGTTCGCCGTCACTGACCTAGATCTGTTAGTTAAGCCCCCAATTCTCAGATTCTTTCCTGAGCTACCTAAGGGGGCATTTCCTAAATTTCTGCTTGCATGTATACTTTGTTACATTATATTGCCGTACGTTGTCTTCTTCACTTTGTTCCTTGTAAGGCCCGCTGCTGACTTGGCAGTCCATTTTGTTTTGCCTGTGCCTCTGTGGTTGCCAATTGTTGTGTAAAAAAGGGGGGGGATTCTGGATCATCCTCCCCTTGCTAATTTGGCGTTTTGATATCCTTAGGCTCTTCCCTGACACAAGGTGAATAAGAAAATCTTACTCTCAGGCAGGTAGTCCTCGACTTACAACCATTCATTTAGTGACTGTTTGAAGTTACAATAGCACTGAAAAGGGGGACATGACAGTTTTTCACACTTAACGACCGTTGCAGCATCCTCACGGACATATGATCAGAATTTAGGCACTTGGCAACCGGCATGTATTTACAATGGTTGCAATATCCTGGGGTCGTGTGATCACCATTTGTAACCTTCCCAGCTGGCTTCCAACCAGCAAAGTCAATGGAGGCAGCCAGGTTCGCTTAACAGTGTGATTCACACTTCACAACTGCAATGATTCACTTCACATCTGTAGCAAAAGGTCATAAAATGGGGTGCGAGACACTTAAAACCATCCTGCTTAGCAACGGAAATTTGGGGCTCAATTGTGATAATAAGTCGAGGACTACCTGTATTCTAGCACAGGAATCTCTAACATCTCTTTAAATCAGTGGTTCTCAGCCTTTTTAATGCCGCGACCCCCAACCAGTCGTAAATCAAGGACTACTCAACCGGTCGTAAGTTGAGGACTACTCAACTGGTGTAGCACCATTTGAAGAATGGGACTTTTGGCGGGCTCAGCAGGGCAGAGACAGCCTGGACAATTCCTATTGGCTTTTGAAGCCAATAGAATTAGACTCTATTCAAGAGAGTCTATTCTATTGGCTTTCAAAAGCCAATAGAATAAAAGGGAGTAGCACAGCTAAGGAAAAGGGGAAAAAAATGGCGGACTGCGTTGTTTGGCGACCCCCGTGAAATGATCGTTTGACTCCAAATGGGGTCCCGACCCACAGGTTGAGAACCGTTGCTTTAAATTCTTATTAGGTGTCCCCCTTCTAAATTTCACACTCGAAATTCTCATTCTATCATTTTCTCTCCAACACTTTAAATGGTTCTAGGTCAGGGGTAGGGCTCTTTTATGACTCATAGACCAACTCCCAGAATTCCTGAGCCAGTTGCAGTCAGTTGAAGTCCATGAGTCATGAAAGAGCCGAGGTTGCCTACCCCTGTTCTAGGTGTTGTAGCATTAGCTAGAACATCTTTACCCTGATTCAGAGGATTCTCCCTTCGATTCCTCTTTCCTTCAACCTCCCCCCTGTAATGGAATGTGGGAATGACCTTGTAAGACAGGGAAAGTGGTGCTGCCTAAAGAATCATCTGACTAGAGGGAGAGCAGCCCACAGCTGAGTAATGGGCAGGGAAAGAAATTTAAAAACAATTTTGCTCTAACTCAGGGGTCCCAACCCCCAGTTCACGGACCAGTACCGGGTCGCAGCATGCCAGCAACTGGTGCACACAAGCAAGCAAAGCCCCATCCGCAGGATGCAGGCAGCACACAATAGCACACCCCTCTGGTCCGCGGAAAAAGCTTTCTCTATGTAATCGGTCCCTGATGCCCAGAAGGTTGGGGACCTCTGCTCTAGCTTAGCAGGTAGTAAAAAAAGACGGCAGGAGATTTGTACTTTCAGACTTGTAAGATTCTGTTAATGTAGCCGTAGAATAAATTAGAATCAGCTCATTTGACTGTGTTCCCTGCCTGATCTATATGGGAAGCTGTCCACAGACGTACCTGGGGAATCTCTCCACCTATATACACTTCTACCTCTGCAAGGGGTTTCTAATTGCTGTTCACCTTGCCAAATGTAAGCACATATGCATGATCCACACTCTGTCTGTGAACGCTCTTGTTCCATAAATTCCTATGGATCGTTTGGACTATCCCGAGGTAGGCAACCTTGGCTCTTTTACGATTCGTGAACTTCAACTCCATGGCTGGCTCAGGAATTCTGGGAGTTGAAGTCCACGAGTCATAAAAGAGCCAAGGTTGCCTACCCCTGGACTATCCCATCGTCTTTGGAAATCAAAAGGATGATAATAAGTCTTCTCCGACACATCAAGAAGACACCATATTTAGGAAGCCTGCCTATTGATGTCTGTCAACTTAATTTTGGGCAGTATCCTATGGTAGTGCTGACAAAATCTAGAAGAAATAATTCAGCTTGGAAAATCAGTTCAGTTCTTTATAATCAAATTAAGTCATTCAGTTCACATTTCAGAATCAGTTAAAAAGGTATACGCAACAGCATCTCAGTGCATTTGAGGCAACAATTTGGACTGACTTTCAGATTCAGTTCAAAATTCATAGTGATCAAGTCAGCTTTGAATTAAATCTCCAAAGTAAATACTTGCAAAACTCTAATGAGCATTTAAGAATAAATTTGCAAGACTGTTAATACTTCATCCGGTTGTTTGTGAAAGTTATTGCAGAACTTCAGACATTAGCATAAGACAAGGGGGAAACTGTTCAACATCTATGGAATGATCCAAGCCACTGTTTTTAAGTAATGTAATTTAATTATAATAAACATTTAAATTAAATCGCATTTTTTATTTGGTCCTACCTTCCTTTTGGAATGCAGTCTCAAATGTAAAGTGTCACCTTTGCCTTGAAAAGAACTGAAAACCAATGTTGTAGATCAGGGGACTGATGTAGAAGCCCGAACCGATTGGCAGAAGTGAATTCTGCTCAATGTTAGTTTTATTGCTTTATAAAAAGCAGTAAATTCTATGGTTCTGGTTACTGTGAGGTGCAAAGGCATGCACAGATGCACATATGTAAACTGAAAATAATCAGGAGTTGCCTTCAGAATAAAAGCAATACAGTTTTATTGCGTGCCTGGGGTATACTTACTTACATTTGATTTCTAGTTTTCAATTGACCTCAAGAAGGCCAGTGTCAGGCACAGGAAATCAGGATCCAGGCAGTTCAAATGAATATACAGGTGTATTGTACGCTAAAGCTCTCTACAAGAATCTGAACTACTAACAATCAGAGCAAATTGGCAGTAGATGAGAATTCAAGGTGGATGGCACTTAGATCTCTTGTGGGCCCGAAAGGACTTGAGACTGATGACGCGTTTGAACCCTCCTACATCAGGGTCTGCTTGATCATATCCTACATTTGGACAAGGATACTCAAAGGGCTGGATGTGGCCCTAGAGCCGTAAAATGTCCAGATTTGCTCTTTATCATTGGTTATGTTCAAATGGAGGATTTGATAGCCAGATAGGTTTCGGGGATATTTTGATTTAAGTTCACACATTGAGCAAGGGTTGCCTTGATGGTGTAAATGGTCTTTTCAGACCCTATGATTTTATGGATCCCACTTTGCCTATTCTTCCTGCATCTGTGCTTCCTAATTGCCATCACACTAACTGGAAAAATTACATTGAAGCAGAACAGAACAAAGTTTATTACAGTGAGTGATCAGGGCAAGAAAGTTGAAGGAGAGAGAAATCACCAAAATATTGATGTACATACGAATGAATGGATCGATCGATAGATTTAAGATAGTACAAAACTATAGACATAAAATCTTATAAAACCTATTGAGCTGATCTAGTTAATCAGATGTATAAAACTTGTTCTCTATAAAACCTGCCTAGTTTATTTTCTCTTTTACCATTTTTAGTTGAGCGCACATAGAAGTAAGTCAGGAAAAAAAATGAAATGAAAGAAGTAAATTTATAACATGCAATATTTGAAAGCATGGGAATATCTTGATCTGAAACATAAGAGCAGCCTTTTCCAGCTTGGTTCCTTCCTTTATATTTTGAACTTTAATTTCCTAACCAACATCACCATCTTCAGGGAATGAGAGAACTGTAATCCCAAATTAATAAATCTGAAAAAATAATTGGCAAATTTCTATCCAGATCTTCCGGAAAAGACTATTGTTTGAAAAGACTTTAGTGGGGCCCAGGCATTGATGCGAGAACTTTTACAGTTCTTGGAAGTAGCCCAAAGTAACCAAACAAATGAATATTTCCATTCAGAAATGTGTAAGACCTTACTTGTGGGATTGTTGCTTCAACCCAGGAAAGGAAAGGGAGTTGTTGTATCTTGCAGAGCAGGCAAGTTAAGAGGTTAGTGGAGTTCTGCTGTGTTGTGTAAAGATAAACCATGCCTTGCCCAGCCTGGCATCTTTCAGATGATGTGAGCCTCTAAAGTTCTCCAAAGCCCACTTTGGCATGGCCTCAAACTAAAAAAATTACTCTTCCTATACATCTAGAGAGTACCAGGTTGGGGAGAACCACACTGCAACGAGTGACACATAAAAGCTCCTTGCACCTGGTCAAGAGAACGTTTGAGTTTGTGCTTTTGTTTTGTTTTTTGTATAGTCAGGGCCGGTTCAGACAGTGCTACCTGAGCTGCAATCATTGGTAGGAGAGAAAAATCTCTTCCTTCGGCTAGCCTAGTTTCTCTATCCCCGTAAAACATACAGTGTTTTCAGGAAACACTTGTTTCAGGAAACACTTGGAGTTCTGCAGGCGGCTCTAAAAAAAAAAGTCCTGCTGTGGTCTTGCAAGTTTTCAGCACTTGTCACACTACTTGCAACTCTTCCACAATGCATTGTGGAACTTGCTACACTGAGTACATTCTGGCCATAAAGAATAAGACAGTGAGCTTGTCAGCTGGAAAGCTGACAATCCAGGTTCGAGACCCGAGCACTGCATGACAGAGTGAGCTCCCGTTCCTTGCTCCAGCTTCTGCCCACCTAGCAGATCGAAAGCATGCAAATGCAAGTAGATAAATAGGTACCACTTCAGTGGGAAGGTAACATTATGTGCCTTGGTGTATAGTCATGCTGGCCACATGACCATGACATGGAAATGTCTCTGGACAATGCTGGCTCCCTCGGCTAAGAAGCAGAGATGAGCCCCGCCCCCTAGAATCAGAAATGACTGGTCTGAGGAAAAATTTACTTTTACATAGAGAATAGTGTCAAAATGCTACTCCTGGCTGAAATCTGGAAGGGGACTGAGCCTTGTCTGGTACCATTTTTGACATGTTCTGGTTCTGCTTTTTTTGATTGAAGCAAAACCTGATAGCAGCCCTATTCAAAAAAAAAAACAACCAAAACCCAACAACCCACATCTTTGGGTATTAACTTTTGTCTTAAATCCACAGTTAGTTTTTCAAATCTGCTAATTAAAGTCATTGCACAATGCAGAGACCCTAAAACAAGATGGATCGACCACATCAAGTATTGCGGGCCCACTTGGCAAAAGAAAGATCAGGACCGTATATAGGCTGGAAACATGCAGAAGAGGCCTTCATCCTGCAGTGGATAGACAATGGCTAAAATGATGATGGTGACACAGTGCATCATAAAAATAATGAAGTCTCCCCAAAGCCCAGCCATTAGATTGCACAGAGATCTTGTGTTTCACTAACCCGTTGCATACAAATGTGATTTGCATTTCAGAAAGACTTCAATTCTTTCTCGACTGCTGACATTAACCTTATGTATTTTTAACATGTTTCTAGTGCTTATGTTTAAAAACAGGCAAACCATATTTCATCAGAATAACTAGGGCCTTTATTAAATACACTTGAATTTCCAGTGTCTGTTATTACCTGGCACTCCTTCTGTTCCTTTATTGGCAGCTTAATAGCTGATTAGTAGAATACACGTATATTTCTGGAACGTTGGCTACTAAATGTTTGCAGAATAGGTCACAGATCAGATAATCCATACAGTATAGAAAATGCTATGCCATTTCTTATTATGCCTGGGAATAGGTCAGCCTTGAAAGCGTGGAGACCACATACTCATATTGGCCAGGGAGCTCAACCTTTGGCCTCCAAGCTCCCTTGAGTCTCCTGTAGTTGACCAACCAAATATTGGGTTGTCCATCATTTTGACCTAAAAGGCATCTGAAAATTGGTGTGTTGGCCCAGCATGGTCATAGCAGAAGATCCTGGATCCAACCACATGAAGGAGATTGTCCATTAATTTGGCATCATCACCCCCACGGTAACCCTTGGCCTCCTGAAGAACCAGCTTCTTCAACTCTCAGATATTTTCCTAACTTTAGGGTTGTCAGCACCAAGTGAGAAGGTTTAAGGAGATGGTTTGAAATGGGGGAACTAAAGTCAGAAGTCCCTTGTCCCTTCTTAGCTGATTTCCCACTTCCCAGATGGAAAGATAGGGACGGATTCTGTGCTATTTGATTCTAGTGGCCCAATTGACTACTTTTTCATTCTGTTCTGTTCAGGTTGTTATACCGTGCCCCTCACCGTGGTATCTGAGCGTACTTGGGCCCAGATTTGTTTGAACCGGCCCTGAACATGGTAGATTCTTAATTTTTTTTTTCTGTTTCACAGTGAGCAAGAAAAAATACATCACAATCTTTTTTAAAAAAAAAAAAGAAAGAAAGAAAAGAAAAGTGTATTGACTTTTGTGTTAAATCCAAAGTCAGTTTTGCATGTCTGCTTCAGATAATTAAAGTCATCCATTCTATCCATTGGTGTAAAATGCTGCTTCCATTTGTGCCTCTGTAGGTTTGATTAAGCGAAAAGCAGAATAATGTTTAACCTTTCATTGAAGCATGGCTTAAAAGTACTTTTAATCATATTTTACATCAGACGCATTTAGAAGCATATAGCATGGTTTTAAGATGTTTTGAAGTGCTCTGTTTAAACTCTGCTGGTTGCAGACTTGAGAATTTCCAGTGTTGTTTTTTTTCTTCTTCACTTTATATTTAACAGTCTCTGATATGGATGAAGGACAGACCTGCAACAGAGGTGACTTTGCATCTGCCTGCCATAATGGTTGAAAAAGGGTGGCCTTGATGGGATTTTCAAAATGCTACTAATACACTTTATTTAGCCTCGTTGACCTGGGCTTTATTTTTATCCAGATTGTGCATGTTGCAGCATGTTACGAGATATATTTTGGTCCTGCAGAAAACCATGGGAATTGCTTTCCTTTTTATTTCAGGGTTTTGCTACTCCTTTTATTATTATTATTATTATTTTCCTTTTCTGCCTGTTACTTCGTTTGCCTATGTAATTTTTTTCCCTTTTCCCAAGAACTTGGAAATGAACACAACTGCAAGAGCATGTTGACTTTTCTAATGTCTGTATTTATACACTTTTCTACCTAAATCATCGATTGCCTGCATTTCCACGAGCAAATTTAGACTTTCAGCAACTTTGATTTCTTGCTTCTTTTACTTTAATTTTTTTTAAAAAAAAAAAATCTTTAGAGATGGCTGTGTTGTGTCGTGAAGTTGCTTCTATTCACTTGGCCCAAAGCATGCTTGGCTGATGTTTCACAGAAACCCCTCCCAAAAAAACCTTAAGATGCATGCCGATTATTTGCTTAAGCAGCTTCATCACATAAAGTCTCATGTGCACGTGGGTCTGGTTGCACTTCCCTTAAAGATCACGCCATGTTTTTCTAATGCAGTGTTTGTTTCCTTCTACAGCTTACCACTGGGACACTTCTGACTGGATGCCAAATGCACGTTTATCTGACATTGAGGAGGTGCCCCATTATGAGACGGCCGATGGCAGCTCAGCTCATCACGGGAGCACACGGGAGCTCGAAACAGATTACTACCTTGGTGGTTATGATATTGATAGTGACTACCCTCCACCGCATGAGGAGGAGTTTTTAAACCAAGACCAATTGCCCCCTCCCCTCCCAGAGGATTACCCAGACCATTATGAAGCCCTGCCACCATCCCAGCCAGTCTCCATGGCCAGCACGCTGAGCCCAGATTGCCAGAGACGGCCACAGTTTCACCCAAGTCAATACCTCCCTCCTCACCCCTTCCCCAATGAGATGGACCATGGTGGGTCTCAGACTGGGAACGAATTTAGTACTTTTGGTGTTGGCCCGGGACCAAATACAGGCAACAGTCTGGCCAAGAAACCTTTGTCTTTACACAATTCTCTGGACGCCTCCTCGTCCGATGTTTCGATGGGCTGTGGTTTTGATGACTCTGAGATTGCCATGAGCGACTACGAAAGCATTGAGGACTTTTCTCTGGACCACCATCAGATTCACATTCCTTTTGTGGAGATCCATCAGCAGACCCAAGTGTGAAGGAGCTCTTTTCGTGGACTCCGTTGCTGTCGTTTGTTCATTCATAGCATAACTGAACTCTTCTCTTTTGCTTCATAAGTGTTCGACACGTCTGGTGCAGGGTTGAAATCCAACCCAACCCATTCTCAGCCTACCCAGAAGATCGATGTTGTGCATGCACATTACAGGGTGAAAACTGTAGCTTGTCTCAGAAAATCAGTACCCAAGGTCATCCATCAGTCTTTGGAGTGGGCATCTACTGCTTATTGCCAAAAGTAAATCCTATTTTAAATCCCAGACCAGTTAATCAGTAAAGGAAAGGATAGTTGGTAATTTTCCTCCCTAAAAAAACCCTTTCTAAATCAGTTCATTCAGAATTGCTGGTCTATTAGATGTAGTATTTCCACGTTGCCCCATATGTTCTCTTGACTACGTTAATGCACTCGTAAACACAGTATAAGCCAATCTTCCTCAGCTTGATACTTTTCCTAGAGCAGTGGTGGTGAACCTATGGCACACGTGCCAGAAGTGGCACGCAGAGCCCTCTCTGTGGGCACGCACACCGTCGTCCCAGCCCTGCCTCCCCCCCTCACCAGCAACCCCCCCCAGGGGAGAGTCCCCCCTGGGCGTGGCCCGTGTGGAGCAGCGCAGACAAGGACATGGTAGCAGAGACAAGACTCCACCCTCGCATGCAGATGATGCTGCGGGACGCGGGTGGAGGGCATGGCCACCATGGCGCTGCAGGGCTGCCTGGTCGATCGGTGGGCCGTGGAGGCAGTAGATGGCCCTGCAGGCGGGCAGGGCAGTTTTTGGGCACTCAGTATCTAAAAGATTCACCATCACTGTCCTAAAGTATTAAGCTGCTGTTCCCATAATTGCTAATTGGCATGTTTCTTGGCCATTCAGTCTACGAATAACGGGAGATGTGATCCAAGGCACCAAGAGGGCATCCAATCAGGAGTGGTTCCAACTCATGCCTACAGTTCTAACTCTGAAAGATACCAAGAATTAAGAGTTGTTTGGCCATCGTGATGAACCAAATGGTAAGGATTGAGGTGTCTCCTCAGTCTAAAACTTATGCCACTGAGCCGTTAATCTTTGCTCTCATTTAAACAATGGGGTTTTTATGTGAAACTTAACACCAAGCTGACCTTGATTCAAGGCTGATGCTGCAGCCTTGAGTGGGTCAGGAGTAAAAAAAAAATGGAATGGCCCTGGTGGTGGGTGGGTTGTTTGTTTATTTATTTATTTGCTGGGTTCCCTGTCATCTTCTAAGCTTTGGTTCTTAGGATACATCTGCAATTTTTTTTCACTCGTCTTTAAATACCATTTAAATACCATTTATCCTATATTTGGTAACGGCTAGTGGAGTAAAATCCGCAGGGACTCAATTTATCTTTACCTTTAAATACTGTTTAAAGAGAGTGCTATTGTAGGTTATGACACCGTCGCCATCATGTATTTCACGGGTGGAAAAAAAAAAAGAAACCCCGACCAGATTATCCTTTTTGCACGATTGAATACTTTTGAATACACATTCCTCGTGTAACTGGAATTCAAGCTTCCATCTTGTGTGGATGCAAAACACAAAAGAAGATGACAGGAGAATTCAGCCGAGCAGCCACTGAAAGGAACAAATAAATTATTCCTGGTGGAAGGGAATTACGGTTTTTATGGATGTCCCTGCAGGTCTTTGGTGGGATTGTCTGCGAGGGGAAGTGGGTCAGAAAAAGTAAAGATGGTGACTGCAACCATGTAACTTAAGGCTCATTCATTTTTCATGTGTGTTACACATCTGACACACAAAGATGTAGCTTTGATCACATCCTAGCAGGTTGCCTTCTTGGCTTTTGCAAACCACACACCCCCTTTGCAAACATCCGTTTCTCCTAACCCAGGGGTCAGCAACCTTGGCTCTTTTATGACTCGTGGACTTCAACTATGCTGGCTCAGGAATTCTGGGAGTTGAAGTCCACGAGTCATAAAAGAGCCAAGGTTGCCTACCCCTGTCCTAACCCTATTTTGTTTTATGATCAGCACAATGTTGAATGAGTGCTTCCACCCAAACTGAGACAGATTTTCTAAAAATTCTTTACACCGAGTGACAAATTTTGTTTTTTACCCAGCTTGATAAATCAAATATGTCTGGTGTCCTCACACTAATCAGCACTTATTTCAGCCTCAGAGAACACCAGTTAATAAATCATATCAAGCCAAGTGGTTCGTTAAAGTGCCATGGAATAAGCAGCTTTATTTACAAAGGTTATCTGTCTATTACCTTGGAAATTGAATGATCTGTTGATTACTACGACTCCCGTTTCAGGCTACAAGAGTATTGTAACTAAGGGTTATATCGTAAGAAATGGTCTAGTTCTAAAAACCTGTTTTAAAAAAAAATTTTTTTTTGAGCCGAGACAATACACTGCCTGTATGAATATTCTGAATAGTACAAATTTAATGTGTGCTTCCTTTTCAGTGATTTTATTCCCTTGGGCTTCACCCCCAAATATGGTAGGCATTCTTTTATAGTGCATTTATAAAATGATGGTTTTTGTTAGCCCTTCTTAGCTTTTTTATGAACCCGCTTTTGAAATATTTTGGGATAAAGGAAACATGGTACTTGAACCTTGTGTATGGTGAGAATGCTAACGTATGGAATTGAGTAAGAAGCTTACTCAACAGAGAAACTAGCTGATGACGTGGGTTGACCTTTCCATGACTACGAATGAGTGTATGTGTGTGTGTGCATCTGTGCGCGCACACACACACACACACGTAGACACACAGAAGAGTTGACATACTCAACATCTCCAACTGATCATGCTCACAGCATTGAGGTTGCTTTGAATGGATACCAAAGTTACACATTTGAATTCTGAACTATTGTTCAGTTGCACTTATTTGTCCCCACAAGTCACACACACACACACACACACACACACACACACAAAGTTATTATGAAGTAATTCTTCCTGACTTTTAAAAGGAATTTTCAAATAATGCTTCTTTTGGATATTAACTACTATACCTGAACTTAGCAAGATACCTTTTTCCCCTTACTTTCTAGTAGTCTTCCGTAAAAAATAATAATATGAAACCTTTTGGTAGTTCAGAGTAAGGGGCATTTTCCATTCTCCTGGGTAACTTGCATGTGTGTTCTAGAAACCCCTAAATGTTAGGCTTTTCTTGTCCTGCCAAATCCTATGCAGTCATCACTTTCTTCTTATTCCTTATCCCGCCTCTTTTAGCAGCTGGCTGCTCACTGCCCCATTGAATCAACGAAGTTGCCCCACTTATTCTAGAGCATAATCTTCATTGCTAATCTCAGAATTAATTGCCCATTTATACATTCCACTGTATTTACTTTCAGATTGTCTTGTAATCTGCTATTAAATTTTAGCTTCACATGGGTAAAAGCATCCTAGACAAGTTAGCTAAATGCATTGGCCAAACTCCAGATGTTTGTAAGCTTCCACAGTTCAGCACAATTGGTAGACACGCACACTTTCTATGCCAGGGTGGATTCCCCCCCCCCTTACTTTCTTTTACCATGAATCGCCCTGATTTTTCCGTCTTTATCCAAATAGCAACTCATCTGTCAATTGGTGTTGATGACACAGGGTAAAAGATTAGTAGTAAGTAAGCCGTACGTGATTAAATGGGATTGAAGGCAATGGAGCTTCAGACAGTCTTGACTCAGCCAGTCTACCCCATAGATAATTACAACACATTCAAGTGATTCAAAGTGGGGAAATTTGTATTTCTGATTGCTCCTATATACAAACCCGTTCAGCATATCATAAAGTGGGACGGTTTGAAAAGAGCTGTATGGCCAATTTTTTCCCAATAGGATGCTTTTTGGTGAGTAAATATTTGATTTAAGGTGGAAGAGGTTTCCGAAAATACCTCCTTCCCACCAGCAATCAGAAATGGGACATTTCAGAACTATCTGAATAATATGTAGCCGTTGGTGAGTTAAGCAGATAAGGGGGAATCAGGAAATTCAAGATGGCCACTTCAGTCTCGTAGATGCATCCACCATCTTGAATTTTCTTGACGCCCCTATTGTCTACCGGCCCCCTTGTAGCCATAGACAGCTGCATTGCTTTGGTACGACTCAGGTTTTGTTCTATGCAAAAGGGCCTTTATTCCTCCTATTACCCAAGATGGCAGTCTGAACTTCACAGAAATAAGTGTTTTCCTAAAAATAATAATAATTCCAAATTATAAAGCTACATCTCAAGCCAAAAGGTCCACACTCAGCATTTTCTCTTTGTTTCCCCTATTTACAAGATGGTAAGAATGTCTATATGCTATCATGTGAGCCATATCACACTTGAAGTAGTACTGCTCAGAGGCAGTATTTATTAGTTATGTAAATACTTGGTGCCCAGGTAGGGCCAGTCATCCCAACTGCACACAAAACGAAGAAAACTGAGACTTCCACATGCCAATGTTGATAGCAAAACGATTTAATATTAATTTACTGCTTTTATTAGAGGGTCTTTCACAAACTAAAGGTAAATAATTTCAATATTGTCACAGAGAAACAGAAATCTTTCCAAAATTTTGATGGGCCATTTTAGCTGAACTGCATCTTCCAAATTCATTCCATATAATTGGGAGTGGAGAAAGATTTGTTCATGATTATGCAAAAAAATGGATTTTGGCCGTCTTCTTTCTTTGCTTATTACATCCCTCCAGTAGTAAAATCCATAGTAAGTTTTTCCATGAAAGATCATTATTTCAAGGCTATGCATCATATAGAAGAGCACTGAACTTTTTTTTTCATTTAGAGAGAAAAGGAGAGGCAGTGGGATGTAACTTCGTTTCATCTTTTTTTTTTTAAAGAGCAATAATTTACAAATGTATTACAGGCCATAACCAAACTTCACTACTGGCAGTGTTAAGAGAATAAATGAACTGGATTGTGGGAATTCAAGGCCTCACTTAACATAGCTTAAGCATATGTTTGAATTCTTACCAGAACAATTTTTCAAACCCAGGATAACTGCTTTTTCAGGAAGTTTATTTGGGAAAAAAAAATCTTAAGTTCTCCTTGAAGCACTGTATAAGAAAGATAATTGTGTGTAAATTTTACCTGTTGCAAGCAGGCTGGTTTGTAAAAGATGTATGTTTTTGGTGTTAAAAAGTTTATAAAATAATGTATATAATAATTTTGAAATTACTGGGCTTTTGTAGATATTCAATGCCAATCAGGTGGCTTTTCATTTTTGTTACCTGTGTTCATTTGTGTAAAGTCATCCGTTACAGGTTAATCATATAAAGTACTTCTTACAAAACAAATCAAAAATTCTTCTTAGTTGCTAAAGGAGACTTCAGTTTTCATTTGGATCAATTGTTTTCCGTTCACTTCTGTTTCTATGAAACTGCTTCCTGGTTGTTTTTTTATGGGTTTTTTTGTTTTGTTTTGTTTGTTTGTCTGTGCAAATGCAATCATGTTTTCTAATGACATTTCTGTTGGCATTAAAAAGGTTTCTCCATTATTTCACCCTGTAACAAACGTATGCAAAAGGGAAGATGATCTCCGGAAATGGATCTTGTCCCTTGTTGCCTAACTCATCAGTTGTTCATTTTCCTGTTGGCAGTATTGTCTTGTTATTTTGCTATTAAAAAAGAAACAAAAAAGAAACAAAAAAGTGTACAGGTTTGTAACTGCCCAACTTTGCTAAGTTGATCGTTAAAAAATCAGTTTTCAATTAAAAACACATGGTTTTTGCTCACCCTTCTTCCTTTCTTCCTTTCTTTGAGATACATTTCCACTTTATAGTACAATTGTCAACATCCATCCATCCATCCATCCATCCATAGAAGGCCATTATTTTGCAGTGGATGGATGGATGGATGGAAACCAAGGAGAGAAGCAACCTAGAACAAGAAGAAATTTCCTGACAATTACAACAAATTAACTAGTGGAACAACCTGCCTCCAGAAGGTTCCATGAAGATAAGTTTTTCCACAGACTGGAGAGTACATGGTTTTGAGTGCTGCCTGCATGTTTGTGCTTTGCTTGTTTGGGCAGACCAGTTGCTGGCATGCTGTAGACTCGGGGTTGGGGAACCCTGGACTAGAAGACCTCCAAGGTCTCTTCCAGCTCCTATTCTATTCTATTCTATTCCTTATTCTGTTCCTTATTCTATTCTATTCTTCATTTCTGTGGCTGTGTATGCAGTCAGTACACTACCATCAACTGAAAGCATTTCATTAATAATAAAATAGCACTATCGGTGTGCATAGTTGTATTTTTAGGATGCTATTTTGTTATTTTGGATGTGGTTTTTTGTTTTTGTTTTTTTGTTATTCAGGCTCACCAGGCCAAAGCAAATAGATAAAAATGAGAATCTTTTGCAAACAATGGTACACAGGGCTGAATAGACCACTGAGATGTGGTTGAATGAAAGCACCTTGCCAACAAAAAATAAATAAAAATAGAAAAACATTGCTAATTTGGAAATTCACATTGTACCCTAATTCAAAAAAATGCTTTTATAAAAATGCATCTGGTCTAAAATCAAAGGTGCACATATTTTCTCATTAACAATTTTGTAAAAGAGCCGAATCTGTCTGTCTTCTTTAAGTATGCAGCCTCTATTGAACAATATAAAAGAATATTTCTCAGGCTTCAGCGAAGAATCAAGCACTATCATGCCTTGCTATAGAATGTAAGATAAAAGAAACCCCAACAGACTTCAAATGTTGCTGATTCCTCACCACTGAACATGACAAAAACAGCATCATGTCATCTCAACATCAGCCCCTGCCCCTTTTGTAAGAGTGGGCAATATCACAACTCGCATACAAAACAAAAGAGTCCGAGCTTGCATTTGATGGGTACATTGTCATTGCCTTCCACTGCACCAAGTCACAAATCACTACCTCTAAAGTATTCAAAATTTGTGGACATATTTTTTTAAGACAAATCTACCACCCAAGCGTGCCCAAGTCACTTTGCTGCCCAAAGAGGAAAACAAAATGGTGGCCTTCCATTTTCCACACCAAGTGTACTTTCCAAGTACTCAGCCAGGTATAGCTATGTGGGCCCATCATATATGCAGTCCTTCACATTGTCATGTTTCAACTGCATGGATATGTCCATGTTAATTTCTTGGTGACAATATGGAATGGCTTGACAACATCAACTGAGATGGCTTCTCAATTTCTATGTTTTGGCTGCTTTCAAAAAAGTTCAGCGAGGTTTGATCTAAATAATACTCGGATGAGAAGGAAATGGGAAATCCTAAAACTACACAACTTACCAAGAATCCCTGTCAAACAACTATGTTGCAAAAAAAAAAAATACAGGTGGTCCTCAACTTATGACCACAACTGAACCCAAAATTTCTGTTGCTAAGTGAGACATTTGTTATTTGGCCCATTTTACAACCTTTCTTGCCACAGTTGTTAAGCGAATCACTGCAGTTGTTAAATTAGTAACATGGTTGTTAAGTGAATCTAGCTTCCCCATTGACTTTGCTTGTTGGAAGGTTGCAAAATGTGATCATATGACCCCGGGATGCTGCAAGCATCATAAATATAAGTCAGTTGCCACGTGTCTGAACTTTGATCATGTGATTATGGTGATGCCGCAACGGTCATAAGTGTGAAAAACAATCATAAATTACTTTTTCCAGTGCTGTTGTAATACCAGGAGATAGTGAGGACAGGGGAGGCTGCTGTGCTGTGCTCCATGAGGTCATGAAGACTTGCACACAACTTAGCAACTGAACAACAAAAAAAATGAGATGACATCATTTCATGCTTGATATCATCTGACATCTTTGTGGTTTGCTGTAGATGACAGTGGTGTTGTCCCATCCATCCAAGAACAACTAGCAACGTCTACTTTGTGTTTTCAAGAATGTCCATGACAACTTCATACCGCCATCTAATAAATGTGCACTAGCCAACTTAGTAGAAATGCCTTGTCATCTAAATGTAAACAATAAGCCCTTTTCCACTTCAGCTAGCTGGAGAAATGGGGGAGTTTTCACTACTTACTGAAACTACTTTCAAACTTGGTTAGCTGCCATATCCTACTAACGAACACGGGGGGGGGGGGGAAGTTTCACATTAAGACCAACAAGAATGTAGAAGGGAATTAAAATTGCGCCACAGGATGGCAATGTCAGATTAGAAATATGTCAGAGGTACTGAAAGATTGAACTACTGTTCTAGAATACCAAGCATAAGAAAATTAAATGAGTCAAAGGCACAATACGTAAAACTGATGGGAATAAGATTTGATTTTTTTCGCTGGTGATGAAGGCGCATGTTTCTGGGTCCAAGGTTCAATCATGTCGAAGCTGTTAGAAATAATTGAGACAAAAAGATCTGCGATCCATGGAGGCAGTGGGTGGCCCTGTGGGTGGGTGGGGCGGGGGCAGGGCAGGACGGCTGGAGGTTGGAGCAGGGGCAGAGCGGGCATGGCAGGGGGCAGAGCGGGGGCAGGGGTGGGACGGGACAGTTTTTGCCCACTCAATCTCTAAAAGGTTCACCATCACTATTTTTGAAGCGGATGAAAACACTGGTTAGATAGATAGATAGATAGATAGATAGATAGATAGATAGATAGATAGATAGATAGATAGATAGATAGATAGATAGATAGATAGATAGATAGATAGATGATAGATGTGTGTGTGTGAGAGAGAGAGAGAATGATGATAGAGTGACAAACAGACATGTATGTGTGTGTGTATATTTGTTATCTCTGGCTCTTTAAAGATATGGCAGTGCCCATACATTGATAGTCACAAACCTGCATACCTACTAAATTCTTGAACTGGCAATAGCAGCACAATGTCATAGGGCTTACAATTAAACCACATGTTTATATATCCATTTTAAATAATCTTTCACTTTACAAAGGTATTTCAACAGCAGAACATGTTGTAAAAGATTTGCATTCACTCAGACTTTACTCCTAAGTGTTGCAATGTAACAGGACCATAGAATACTAAAGTTCCCCTCGTGGTTCCCTTGAAGACGTGGTTATGTGCCTGGGCCTGGTGCCCTGAGTATTTTGTAATGGGGCCCTCTTCAAGAAACAAAATATTGATATTTATGGTTATAATTTTTCTCAGATGTTTTATTGATTTGTACTTGATGTTAATGGATGTTTTTGATTGTTTGTCACCCAGAATCATTTATCTGAGATGGATGGCTGAATGAATGAGTGAATGAATATATGAATGAATATCCTTTGTCTTCTAATAAGGATATCCCAGTCCTTCACTTCCTATCCAGACAATGTCTCTCTTCACTCATACATCATTGTTGCTTAAAGTAACAGGTGAACAATCTTTTTAGAGCTGGAAACTGTAATTTTCTTTTGAATGTATTCCCTGGCTCACAAAATAACCCAATTCCCAGCTAGCAGCCATTTAGCAAAGGGAAAGAATTCAGCTTGTTAAGCTTGTTGGCAACTTAATGCACTTCTCTGCCACTTTTCTGTAGACAAAACAAATCACACAAAGAAAATTGTACTGCTATTATTCCACGTGATGCTGCAATAAAATTTCAGTGCAATCTTGCCAAGCTCTGAGAGTCACTGAGATGGGTTTTGAAGGTGGCTTGTTCTCCCAGATCAGAGTTCCTGAAATCTTGCCTTAATATAGTAACATCTTGCACCAGGAAAATGGACTAGATACAGCAGGGGTAGGCAACCTTGGCTCTTTTATGACTCGTGGACTTCAACTCCCAGAATTCCTGAGCCAGCATGGCTCAGCTTGGAAACCTCTCCCTTTCCCCTCAGCATGGCTGGCTCAGGAATTCTGGGAGTTGAAGTCCATGAGTCATAAAAGAGCCAAGGTTGCCTACCCCTGAGATAGAGCGATCATGACATTGTAAACCTAAAGCAGTGATAGCTGAAAAGCAGGCTTTCAAAATTACAGCTTCAAAAAGATGCTTTGTCATTTCTTGGATAAATGTGTGTCTAATGGATAGAAGAATCACTGTCAAAAATTCACTGTTCTGGATTTTTAGTTTTAAACCCTTATATTCAAAAGAACTCTATTTGGAACTCTCTTTTTCAAAAACCTATTTTCATTTTAAACAGAGAAAGAAAAATAAAAGAAGAAAAAGAGGAATAGAAGAAATATTGCTTGAAGTTTAAATAACAATAGCAATTTAGAATGATATACCGCTTCACAGTGCTTTACAGCCATTTCTAAGCAGTTAACTGAATCAGCATTTTTGTCCTCAACTATCTGGGTCCTCATTTTACCGGCCTTGGAATGATGGAAGGCTGAGTCAACCTTCTCACCAAGTGAGAATTGAACTGCTGGCAGTTGGCAGTCAGCAGCCTGCAGTACTGCATTCTCACCACAGCTCTTAGATTAACAAAGTTTGAGTTATTCTCCCGATGTGTGCAACCAAAATGTTTAGCTCAACCTTCCACAATTTATAGCAACCTAGTCCAAATGGTGGACTTCAACATATCTTGCTAGGAATTATTCAAGTTGCAGAACAGTTGCAAGAATTGGGTATGTCTAGTCTAATGAAGAGAAGGACTAGGTGTGACATGATAGCAGTGTTCCACTATCTCAGGGGCTGCCACAAAGAAGAGGGAGTCAAGCTATTCTCCAAAGCACCTGAAGGCAGGACAAGAAGCAACGGATGGAAACTAACCAAAGAGAGA